TGAATTTTTTTCAGGTGAATTTTTGCAGGTGAATATTTTTGCAGGGAAATTTGGAGGATAAAAATTCAGTGTCATAAATTCAATGTCTAAAAATACTTGAATTCTGATGACACTATATTTCTTCCATACAGCTGAGAGTGATGAGTGATGAAACGTTTCTCCCATTGAAAAGGCTGCGTCCAGGTGAACAGAATCAACCTTTTGAGATTCAGCATTTAGAGTTTCCAAAAGAAGAATGTGAGGCAGCGCTTGGCCTCTTCTCCTGTGCTGCCAGTTGGGATTTCAGAAGTCAGACGCCATCACTGCTTTAGGATTAGACTCCTAATTTTCATTTTTGATAAATCTCATAGGGATGATTCAGATGACTCTGAATTATCCTTTAGTTATGCTGCTACAGGCTAAGGCACAAAAACCAGAAGGCTAAGTTTTCAGCTTTATTTATCTTCAGGAATCCAAAGTTATATAAGCAAGAAGCAGCATAAATTCATTCAGGATCACTCTATTACTGCAGTTTCAGTAGGTAGAAAGTAAGATTTGACCGAAAAAGACTAAACCTGGTTACAGGTCTATTTTTTTAGTTGGATGGTGTACATTACATTATTGTTGATATACAAAAGACTTAAAGAGAATCTAAGTAGTTGCAAACGGATTAAGAAAATGTTGAGCTGAAGTATGTGCTCTGAAGTTCAATGCAGTTCAGAGTCAGCCAGACTTGCCACATTTTCATAGATCACTGTGCCATCATCGCAGTCACCAACATAATGGACCTGTAAAAAGCACACAAGCAGATGTTTAAGGGAAACTCGGGTGGCCACTGAAGTAATAACTTGAGGATTCATTATACTTCACATAATTGTTACCAAGGATCTGGCAGGTTAAAGATTAAAGTCCAGTCTAACTGTTTAGGACATTTATGTTTTCACATGCATCTTTATCAGGTAAGTCCTAGAAAAATTCAGTACTGCCATGCAGGTGTGAAAACAGCTTTATATTAATGGTAACTCACGGTGAACCAACTTTCTCATCATCTGTCTTACAAGCTATTTTAGTTCCTCCTAGGTTTCAAACTAGCCAGTTCACACTGACAAATTGTGTATACATGAAATCTGCTTATCACAGCCACTTACTGTGTACTGTTTATTGAAAAAATCCTACATAACATTTAAAACAAGATCGTTTTAAACTCACGTTGCTCTCTTCAAGAAGTTTTCTGTTTCCTTAAAAAAAAGAGCAGCAATTTAATTCAAACGTATACTTTCAGTAATTATAGTTATTATGTATAATCTGAATTGGCTCACCTCTGTATCTGATGACTAAAATAGTGATGACAATCATTAGGATCAGTGCTGCCATGCGAAGATGCCACATGGCATAGCTCAGCGGAGACTGGTCCATGGACTCTCTAAAGTCTGCACAAAGCACATGGTTCACAGTATTTCTTCATGCATTTCAGCGTTTGAATATTTGGAAACTAAAGTAGGACTCAAAGTTATTTTTACAAAAATCAGCACTGTGGAATAAATGAGGCCATTTCCCTAAACATTGGGTTGGGGGGTTTTTTCTATATAAGTTATTGTATGCCTTTATTTTCTGTAAGAGTGGAGACTACACTGTACTCCAGAGGTACATTATAACAGTCAATTTTTCTTGAATGTTCCTAACTGGAATGTGATTATTAGAGCTATTCTATCAATCTGTTTTCTTATCCAAGTCATCATTGTGGAGGGGTTTGAGCCTATCCTAGCTGCCATAGGGTGAGAGGCGGGGTTCATCCTGGACAGGTTAAAAGCTATTTGAATTTTTCAAATACTAAGGAAAGAAGTCTTAAATGCATTTTTTTAATCACCTCCTATAGCAAGGGATTCACCAGACCAAAACATTAATTAGAGTTTGATTCAGACCTGGTCCTGTATGTTGGTAAGATCTGCCAATGACGTTACAAATTGTTTGAAAATTAGGACACCCTGGAAGGTAAAAAGAAGAGCGTTGTAGAGTTTAGAAGCAGCTGCTTTGAAACCTTGGTTTCAGCTGTGGACCAAAACACTACTATCGTTTTAACCTGGTCTGGCTTCTACTGTCTTTTTGTCTTTTTCTTTGAATCACAATTTTAGGTGGTGGCCCACCTGATGGAAGGCAGCAGGCTTGGGTGGGAAAAGACTGACAGTTACACTCCCAGGTCGGAGCATGGAGCCCACTACCACAAGACCTATGACAACCCTGAGTGTGGTGTCCTTGAGCCCTGAACTGGCCAGACTTACATTTCCAACCCACAAGTTACCATGGTGGTTTTCCCCTCGTCACCGATAGAACTTATTGTCTTTTCAAATCTAAGGCAATTTGCCTTTTTAAAAATATATTTATAGCAGCGACTTGCACATATTAGGTAGAATTAACCAGCTTATTTATTCTACCTAGAGGTGTGTAATGAGCTATGGAATCTGTGGACTCTGTTCATCAGTGTTTAATGGGTTAAAATCATCTAATCGTTATATATAACCTACCTATGAAGACTGGTGTGTAGTGAGTTTCCATCTTCACATTGTTTTCCTCAACAATCTGGCAGGTGTATCGTTTGTTGTGGTCACTGTGAAGCTTCACAGTTAGAAGTGAAATGCATGTGCGTCCAGTGTATCTGACTTTATTAAGCAGCACAGTTCCTGTGTCATCCACCCAGCGGATGCTTATCTCGTCACAAGGGAGGCTACTGAGTCTGAACAAAGAGCACTTTAATGTGATGTTTCCATTCATCTGTAGGTCAGGGTTTGATGGAGATGCTGAAACTGAAAATGAGTGACGACAGTTACCTCAGCATTAAGAAAAAAGTGGAATGTGAATTTAAATGCAAGTTCTGTAATTTCTTCTTACTGTCACAGGTTTACTGAGTGATTGTCCTGTAGAAAAAGTACTTTTGCACATTTAATATATGTAACTTTCATCCAGATGTTACTGTAAAATCTTGCTCCTTTTATTGCATAGGCATATCGAGTTAAAGCTCAGATTCCACCAAAATGGATTCATTCAGTTACTCCAAATATGCCTAATGATGGATTAAAATCAAGGCTCGATCCCTCATAGAACCTGTGGGGATGATGGATGTTTAATCCTTAGTGCGGATTGTCATGCACAAATTTGTTTCTGAGGGAAAGGGCCTCAGAGATTTTTTATTTTTTTTTTTAAAGGATATTAATGACCATGATACTCTGCAAAGACCCAAATCATTTATGTCCAAGTACTTACTAGTCAAAATATTTAGATAGACAGTTGTGTCCTGGCCAGTGGTCCCCTCAGGCCGACAGTTGTAAACACCAGCATCCTCAGTATTCAATTCAATTCAATTTTATTTATATAGCGCCAAATCACAACATAAGTCGCCTCAAGGCGCTTCATAGATACAGAGAAAAAAACCCAACAATCATATGACCCCCTATGAGCAAGCACTTTGGCAGTAGTGATGTTGTTGATGCACAGAGAGCAGTCACTGTGAAGACTTAGTCTGGCAGCTTGGGTTGAGTTCTTAACATCTCCATGATAAACCACCTGTGTTGTCTGAGATGGCTCTCTGTTGTAAAACCAGGTAACCATGGAGCACGTATCAGGCGCCTTGTCACAGGGCAAAATGACATAATTTCCTGGTCTGTGATAGAGAAAGTATGGTTCACCACTGATTCCTGCTGCAAAGGAAAGGAACGTTTCTGTGATGAATAACACGCATCATCCATCCTCTTCCCCGCTCACCCATCCTTTTCAGGGTAGCAGGAGCCCATCCCAGCTGTCTTAGGGTGAGAGGCAGGGTACACCCTGGAGAGGTCACCATCAGGGTTAACACAGAGAGACAGACAACCATTCACACCTATGGGCAATTTAAAGTGACCAGTTAACCTAACTGCATGTCTATGGACTGTGGGAGGAAGCCAGAGTATTCAAACTCCACACAGAAAGACCCCAGCCTGATGGTGGAATTGAACTCAGGACCTTCTTGCTGTGAGGCAACAATGCAAATGCAACTAAACAAATAATGAACGTAGACCTCAACATTTGCAACATGCATACATAGTGCATGAGTTCTTATATGAATAACTTTCAATGATATCTAATTTTACTGTACATCTCATGTAATCCAAAATCAAGACTAATTAAAAATAAATTCTACATAAAATTGAGAATCACTCCAAATATAACTCAGCCATAATTACTATTCTTTTTTTTCTCCCAAATACTGGCTACTTTTTAAAAACTGTTACTGAAGCTTATGAAAGTGGCATCTCTTTCTGCAAAATTATTCAAAGAAATTTAACATAAACTGTCATGGCATTGCAGGATAGAGGACCCAAATGCAGACCCACGGTGACAAACTGAAGAAACACAAAACAACCTTTTATTTTGGCCTAGCATCATGAAAAAAAGCAGATTTACCTTCAAACTGAAGCACAAAAACCAGAAATAATTTCCAAAGAGCCATTCTGCACCATTCCCTGTCAGCAGGCACACACTGTGAGGTATTTCTCTATCTTTATGTTGCTGCTGTTTTGTCTTTGAGCCCATCACACGCCACCCATTCTGTCATGAGTTTGGATTTCTTCACATCCGCGTCTGCAAATAGACTACACGCAAGTGCTTTCAATGAAAGACACTGCTAACAGGCTGTTTGATTTATTTGCTCTGACAGTCTTCCAAAATTAAAATATACATCAGTATCATTTACCCAGCTGAGTACTGTGTTGTGGTTCAGTTGTGAGGAACTGTTGCTAGTGCGAAATTTTTCTTTGCATAGTTTGTTATTTCTGTTTCCTTTGTTTACTGCCATTTTGGGACTGCCATCTCCCCTTTTTCTTTTTCCTATATATTTTTATCAGCACCTTAAGCTTAACCTAAAAATAAAATCAGTTGTTTTGAATCTGGACTTGTTGAGTTGTTTCCCCATTTGGACATCTAATTGTTATTCCTCCTCATAGTCCTATAATTCTGACATGACTGACTACACACTGGACGCTGAGGAGGACAACCCGAGTAAAGACGGAGAAGGAATTAATTTAAACAGGAACTAAGAACTAGAACTTAAGTAACAGAGGCACTCTACACTGAACATCAGAAACTCAATATTCTGAAAAATTAAGAACAAGTCAACCAAGCTCAAACACCTAGGTCAAATACCCAGGACCATGAGGAGAACAATTTAATTTATGGATGACTTAAACTAAAAAATCAAATAACATGTCAAAAACACTCACACACACAATTATACAAAAAAAACTTTTTACTTCTTTAGTTGGATGAACTCATGTATTTTACGGTAATGCTGCCATATTTCATGTTTGTATGTATTTGAAGCTGACAAAGATGTAGGGTTATGTTTATCTCTGACAACAGCAAGCTTAAATAAAAGCAGTGACATTATGAGATGTTTTATTTCCTCTGATTTATTTTTGGTAAGTTTAGCTGATGATACTGTAGAAGCCGCTGGGGTCACTTTCTACCTTTGTCTTCACTGCAGAATAAGTCACCGCTTCCTCCTTTTTAACCTGTATAACAGAAAATTAAAGGCTTTAAATAATTCAGACCATAACAATCACTAGAGAGTAGAGTCAAAGGAGCTTGCAAAGATGACCTGGATGACTGAGAACCTTCACAGACACTAGAGCGTAGATTTTTTTTTTTTTTTTTTTTTTTTGCTTTTTTTGTTTCTCAAAAAATTCACTGATTCAAATCAAATCGGTTAATGAATAAAATATGAATCTACGACTGTTATATAGCCCAAAAGTAATTTTAAAATGGAATATAAGTAAAAAACAAAAAAACAATAGTTACAGTTTTCCTCAGTGAGGCATTTTGATCAGTGTGGTCAATAGTAGCATAGGTGATGCTGCTCTCTGGCTCATCCTGAAAGCAAACACAGTGGTTCAAAAAGCAAAGACATGAATGAAAACTACTTTAGGTTCTATTTCAGACACATGATGATCAAACATAGTCTCAAAAACTAAATGTTAACTTTCAAATAAAGACTTGATTTTGGCTTTACTCTTATTTTAGTAAAATTCTGTATAAAAGGGTGAAACTAACCAAAAACCCTTTTAAAACGTCCACTAAAACCAGTGAAGTCAGAGAAGAGGAATTACAAGCAGGCTGAGGTTATTATGCCATTGTGCCAAAAAAAAGTAATTGTTGTTCCTCAGTTACTCATTGCATCTCAAACCAGCTTTAAACTGCTGCAAAGTGCACCTGTCCACTTAGTCACAGGTATGTACTTTTCCCCTCTCTATCCATACAGACTTTAAATAACAGATGGATGTAGTGTTCTGGTTTTAATAATTTAATATAATGAAGACAGTACCAAGAGAGGATGCTTTAAATGCATGTGATTATGCATAGCAGATGTTGACAGATGTTTGATATATCTGCCACTGTCGATTTGACTTTTGCACACATTACATATCGCATTGGTTTCACCTATAGTACTGACTGTAAAATGTTTCCACAAATGCATAAAATTCGACACAACTACACAAGCATTGTTCTAACCTTTTAACCGAACGTTATCATTAATCTGTCAACAGCCTATTTGTAAATGACCGAGCTAACAGAGCTACGTAAACAGAATGAAGACTGCAGTCGTCAGTAATGCAGCGTAATGGAATAGTCTCCTGATCTTCGCAAAAGCTATAAACAGCGTCCGGAACCCAGTTAAGGTACAAAAAAATCTATTCAACAAAAATAGTGATGCAGTTCAGTCTTTTTTCGCTCAGCCGAACTGTCTCTGTAGCAGAGGCGGAGCCAGACATTTGAAACACCCGGGGCTTAGCCC